GATGCTGTGCTGCACGGACCCGCTCTCTGATGGCACGTGGGTCCCCGCTGGTGTCAGTATAAGGCCGTTTTTCCCCTTGACCCGGAAGTCTTCCCCTGGAGCACCTCCCAGGGCTCGCCACCCCCCCAATCCTCTGCACCGATTGGCTCCTTGGCTTTATCCGACAGCATCCTCTACTCAGTTCCTGGGAAAGAAACATTTTTAAAAAACCTCACTCCAGAAACGATCTTTATTCTCCATCCATTCCAGTTGCTGGCTTAAAAAAAAATAACAAAAAATAAAAAACAGCACCACCACTGTCGCGGGGCCGGACTCCAGCACACAGTCACCTGTGCATCAGTAAACCTGGCTCCGTAGGGTCTCTGGCCAGTATTTCGGAAGTAGATTGCCAGGCCTTTCTTCCAAGGTGCCTCTGGATGGGTTCAGACTTCAGAGGAAAAGCCTGACCAGGAAGAGCGCTGAGAGACCCCACAAGCCCGGAGCTGCAGCCCGGCCGCTGCCGGCTCCGCGCTGCGGGACGTGACGGCAGCGTGTGGCAGGCAGCGAGCCCCATCGCCTGCACCTCCTCCTCCTAACGACTGACTCAGGCCTGGGCGGCGACAGCCACCTCTTTGGGTTTTGCTCTGAGGTTCAGACGTGAATTGTCCACAATCTTTTTCAAAATGAATAATAGTAATAACGAAACCCCCGACGGCCCGTCACACGTGCCGCGGGCGTTCTTCAGGCGAGCCTTTCGCAGCTCAGACTGCGCCGCGACGGCAGGGTGTGCGTGCGGTTTTCTGAGGTCAGCTCCTTCCCTCCCGGCCCCTGCACGCAGCAGCTGAGAGGTGGGGGCCTGTCTCCTCCTCTTGCCTGAGATGACAGCTCGGTGGTGGAATCCAGGCCTTCCAGCCAGAGAAGGTGGTTTGAGCCCAGCCGGTGCACCTGACGCAGCCACCACCCGCCTGTCCCTGGAGGCCTGTATGTTCCTGCGATGCCGGCCAGGCTTCAGCCGCGCTTTCAGACCGAGATAGACCAGGGCGCAAGGATGGAGACCTGCTTTTGAACTACCAGCCCGGGAAACACCGTGGGTCCCAGCGGCCCATCCCGCTGCCTTTGGAGCTGCCGTCAGCTGGGGCCGACTGGGGCAGCAGCACTGTGGGCGCACGTCCGTCAGCCTGGCACACGCGCCCCCGAGTGGATGCACTGAGAAGCCTCGTCTGCGTGAGCGGCACGTGGGACAGGAAGAGCCTCTGCCCTCCCTTGCTTCCCGGGGACCCATACTTTGGGTTCAGATTAACTTCTGAAGGAAGATGCCCTGGGCTTCCGTTTGCTGCCCCTGCCGGGCTTGTTTCTGGCTGTTGGCGGGCATCGTGCGCTCCCTGAGCTCCCACGTGTCGCTGCGTTCTGGGAGTGAGTGGCAAAGATGAGGACCCTCAAACCCGAGCCCTCCCCTCCTGCTCGGCTCGCTCCCATCAGTTACAGAAAGGACCTTGAGCGGCCGATTGGCGGAGTCGTTGCCACGTGGCGCTCAGCTCCCTGCCTGCTTCCTCCACTCGTTGCACTCAGCCGGGGAACCTTGCCCCTCCTCTGTGCTGCGGACGCCCCTGGAGGGAGGCGAGGAAGGAAGGCAGGCCTCCGAGCCGGATGGGCACAGGCCCAGGAGGTCGCAAAGGAGGCGGCGGCAGGCGAGCGGGACCTGGGCATTCGGGAGACGTCTGTTTGGATGCGTTGGAGAGGGACTGCCAGGCCCAGGAGACTGTTCTCAGACGAGGCTGGAGCCCAAGGGGTGGAGGTTCCAGGGGTGGGGGGCGAGCGTACACACAGTGGCTGGTCTCCGCGGGCCCATTTTCACAGGGTCTCGTCAGGGTGAGGTCATTAGGTCTGCTCTGGGGACAGCTGAGGGGAGCGGAAGAGGCCCATGGTGGCTGGTGGGGCGCAGTTACAGGGCACCGACAGTGGGGGGCCACGGGAGTACCCTCGGTGTGAGCACGCGTGTTCAAGGCGTCTTGGATTTCCTCCGGGTGTTTTCTAACAACTGATCTCAGAATTAAATCTTGGAGGTGGGTGGATGACCACCGTGTCTTCAGTAGAGAAACGGGCTAAACTTAGGTACAGCCAACTGAAGAATTCCTGCTGGCATGGGCCCCTGCATTCAGGGGGCTCCTGTTCTCGTGGGGGTGCAAACAGCCCATCAGCACCTCCTGGGAGTCGATGCGTGTTGCGTTGTGAGGTCCCACCAACATTCAGTTGGTGTTTGACAGCGACTGGAAAGGTGGCGGTCCAAACCCACCAGTGCGACCACAGCAGAAAGGCCTGCGCTCTGGTTCTGGGAAGAGGCAGCCAGGAAGCCCCGTGGTTCTACTGAGTAACTCACTATCGCCAGGTGCCTGGGGGCAGCATGCAGCCTTTGTCTCCTTTTGGTTGAGATTGAAACACACAGCCTTGGACAAGGGGCCCCCTGATACCCTGCCCCAGGTCTCTCCTCCGGTTTACTTGGCGGTCATTCTCAGCTGGGGACGCCAGCCCAGCCTGACCTGGGCGGTGTCCTGTTTGAAGGGGTGCTGTGGCTCTTCCTTGGGTTTGATATCCCCGGGAGGCCCCTGTGCATCACTGCCAGTCACCGCTACCCTGCTGCAGGGCCTCAGTCCTGCAGGTGCCTTTGTGTGGGTGCCGTTTATGGCTCTGTGAGGCGGTCCCACATCGGGGCCTTCCTTACACTGCCACCTTGTGGACAATGCTAGTACTGGGTAAGCCCCGTCACTGCTAAAAACAAATAGCTCCTGCTCCCGGTGAGCCCGTGTGTCGCAGAGCGGGGCTCCAGAGGCTGGGAGCGCCTGTGATCTTCCGGAAGCGGCTTGCCTGGCCTTCCTTCCACAGCCCCACTGAGGGCGCGTGAGCTGTTACTCTTTCAGTCAGTAGCCCGGTATTAGCCACTGGTGCCATCCAGGGACCTCCCTGGCGTGCAGCGACCACAGGACGCCGTGCTGGGGGTGGGGGCCGAGTTTCGGAGACGCCGCTCCCTCAGTCAGGTCAGGCTTCCCTGCGCAGTGCTGCCTAGGCGGGACAGACCATGGACCAGAGTGCCCTGCCCCTGCGAGCCCAGGGCCCAGACCTCTTCCGTGGGCCGCTCGCCGCCACGAGCTCGAGGCCCAGGCCGCCACAGCCTGGAAGCAGCCAGCCCCAGGGTGTAGCGTGTCTGCCATCCCTGACGCCCCAGGGCTCCTGTGGGGAGTGGTGCCCGTGTGGGGTCTTTCCTGCATACAACACTGCCCACCCACGAGGTGCACCACAGGGGTAGGAAACACGAGGGCGCTGCATTCGTCATTACGTGCAACGCGCAGAATCGGAAGGTGCGCGGATCCCCACCCACCGCCCGCTGGGCCCCGACCCTGCGCTGCCCGCGCCTCTCTCCGGAGCAGCTTCGCAAGGTGTCTTCTCTCTCCCCAGTGTTCCCAACTCCTGCCCGGCCAGCCCGCGTGGCGCCGGCTCCTCCAGCTACCGCTTCGTCCAGAACGTGACCTCGGACCTGCAGCTGGCCGCGGAGTTCGCTGCCAAGGCCGCGTCAGAGCAGCAGGCAGACGCATCTGGAGGGGATAGCCCAAAGGTCAGAGGACGTACCGTTCACCCACGCACGGGCACCACGCTCTTGGTGTCTGTGCCGCCATAAGCGAAATGCCACGGCGGGGGGGGTGTTGGCATTGAGGCTCGCTTTCTAACTGCCCTGGAGGCTGCGGGTCCAAGTTAAGGCCGTGCGTGGCTCTAGGGGGCAGCCCCTCCTTTGGGAGTTCAGGCCGTGGCTCTAGGGGGCGGTCCCTCCTTTGGGAGTTCGGGGTGTGGCTCTAGGGGGGCGGTCCCTCCTTTGGGAGTTCGGGGCGTGGCTCTAGGGG